TAACACGCACACTAGGATCCTAGGCAGAGCACGGTCTTGCCTGGATCACATATTCGTGAAGACAGACTCTCCTTATGAGTGGCTGAGACCATTCGTCGTCAAATCGTGCATCAGCGACCATTTTCCAGTAATCCTACAAATTAAATATATAGATGATAGAAAACAGGAACAAAAAATTCAGAACGAAAAATACAAACTGTACATTGATAAAACAAAGCTACGGGACCACCTGACAAGAGAAACATGGAACAATATATACTTAGAAGATGACGTGAACATAATGACAAACAACTTTATACAAACTCTGAAACAAAAAAGTGAACTCGCCACGCATAAAATCGCAATAAAAAGAAAAAACATCAAAAGGAAAGAATGGATCACTGACGGACTTGTGAATTCAATCAATACAAAAAATGATTTATATAGAAAACTGCAGGACGAACCGGAAAACGAAAACATTAGAATTGAATTCAAAAAGTATAGAAATAAGTTAAATCAACTAATACAAGACTCAAAGATTAAATTTCTGGAAAAAAAGGTTAATCAAAATAAAAACAATCCAAGCGGGCTATGGAAAAGTCTTAAAATTATAAACGGTAAACAAGATCACAGTGAACTAAAATCCATTACAACAGAAGACGGAAACGACCTTACAGACAAAAAAGAAATCGCGGAACACTTTGCCGATCATTACGCTACAATTGGTAAAAAACTCGCAGAAAAAATTACCCCGGCATTGTCAATGAATAAACAAACAACTCGAATAAGTAATTCAATATTCATAGAACCCGCAACAGTCAAGGAAATCAAACAAATTATTCTATCCCTCAAAACAGGTAAAGCTCCCGGACTGGATAACATAAAATCTGAGATATTAAGAGATTACTCAGATCTCATTTCAGCTCCTCTAACCTACATTATAAACAAAGCCATCGACACTGGCACATTTCCAAGTATATTAAAAAATGCATCAATAAAACCTATATACAAAGCAGGAAACAAAAAACTGGTAATAAATTACAGGCCAATTTCTTTAATAAATAGCGTGGCGAAGGTCTTTGAAAAATTTCTGAAACTACGTTTTGAAAGCTTCTTCAAGAAATACAACGTCATGTCTGAAAAACAATACGGCTTCAAGGAATCCAAATCAACTGAAGACGCAATGATGGACCTGACAGAAAAAATCTATAATGCTATGGATAAAAGTAAACCATGTCTCTGCATCTTCGTTGATTTGGCCAAGGCCTTTGACACGGTGAACCATAGAGAGCTTCTTCGAACACTTGAAGCTGTAGGCTTCCGGGGAACGTCACTCAAACTAATGGAAAGCTACCTTAGTGAAAGAAAACAGGTGGTCAACATTGATGGCACGATAAGTTCAGAAAAAACACTGGAATACGGCGTACCACAAGGTACTGTGTTGGGGCCTATACTATTCAATGTATACATCAATGAACTATTCCAAACAACAACACAAGGCAGCATCATCAGCTTCGCTGATGATACTGCGATTCTATACGAAGATTCAACCTGGCATACCCTAAAAAATAAAGTAGAAAAAGACTTTATGAATGTAATGAACTTCTTTCAAAACCGACTACTTACCATAAATTACCAGAAAACCTTTTTTATACCTTTCACTTGCTACAGCGACACTCTCCCAAACTACAGCCAACTGGAATTCAATAACGGCCTCATAAAGATCCCCTCAGCTTCCCATATTAAATACTTAGGAGTAATTATAGATTGCCACCTCAGATGGAACTACCACTCAGATTATGTATCAAAAAAACTAAAAAGCATGGCCAACAGATTTAAAGTTTACAGAGAAATATTCGACTTGAAATACATGACAATCCTATATAACTCATTAATTCAGACACACATAACATACGGTATAAAGGTCTGGGGAGGAATCGGAGACGTCTACTTAAAACCATTAGAGACATCACAAAAATGGATCTTGAAAATCATACACCGCAAAGATTATAGGTACCCAACTGAATCATTACTCACAGAAGCAAAAGCCTTAGATGCCCGACAACTGTATTACCAATCTTTAATTATCCACCATCATAAAAATAAACACAAATACGAGCACATACACCACAAACATGAAACACGCTTCAAAGCCAAAACAACAATTATACCAAGAGTCAATACTCAAAAATGTCAAAGATCATTTACCTACCTTTGTCCAGTCTTATATGCTGATATACCTGATGACTTACGGAGAATTCAATCGCTAGGCTTGTTGAAAAAAAAACTAAAAAATTGGCTGCATACTTACCCAAGAGCTGAAATACATCGAGCAATTGATAGGAAAAACTCGAAATGAGATTCACTATGCCTCTTGACTATATTAACTGTATTTTTAAACATCGATTATCATATAAATTCTTTTTTTTTTCTCTCTGATATTTACGAACGTATAATTGTCACCATGCTCATGTGTTTACCATACCTAACCACCCCACTGTAAAAACAAAATAAATAAAATATATTATAAAAAATGTAAAATGTATAATGTAAAATGAAAAATGTGAAACGTGAAATGTAAAATGTAATGTAAATGTAAAATGTTGATACCTACGCCCATGCACAAGGGAAACCTTTTTTTGGGCGCTCTGTATTTATTTACCACCATTGTTACCACATTGTTTATTTCATATTGTAATTTTGTATACGGTAAATAAATTGATTGATTGATTGATTGAATGATAGTGAAGCATGGCAACACCAGTGGCATCGCAACTGATGTTTGTCATATTTGTGAGAAGAAATTCACCGATAAAGACATTGTTGTACGCGACCATGACCATTTTACTGGAAAATTCAGAGGTCTCGCTTACCAAGCTCCATGCAACCTCAAATTTAGAAAACTGTTCGTTGTACCGATAGCATTCCATAACTTATCTGGATATGATTCGCATCTCATAATTCGAGACATTTCTAAGCGTGGGAGTGTGAGCGTGCTTCTAGTCAACATGGAAAAATATACAAGGTGTTTCATTGGGGAAGGTAAATAATTCAACTGTGGATAGGGGTCACTGGGGTGATTTCAAAAAACCCATGGTTGATGGGTCTTCTACTTCTTATAACCGAGATACAGGATGTTTCATCAATTTTGTCCAAATCTTCATTGTCTCATAACTTTCCAACAAACCTGTATATATTTTTAAAAATTGGTACACTTGCTCAATCTATCCTGTGGAATTGATTGAGGCAACAACAAAAGATAAAATCCAGGTCCGGCTTCACTTAAAATTCACAAATTCTTTCTGCCAGAAAACAACACCCTATACATTCGAATTTCTCATTTTTTTTGCCATATCTGAAAAGAACATCAAAATTTCTATCCAGCGATGTGCTTTTTATTCGTGCACAGACGATTTTAACTGTTCATATTATGTGCTCAAAATATTATTTTTGCTCATTTTGATTCAGACGAGATTTATTAATTTTATTACTTCCTATTCAGTATACGTGAGTATTACATTTAGGAGTAGTATTTCATATCGTTCTTTGTTCCAGACTTAGTTGCAGGTCCGTCATCAAAACTCTACAGGGCTTTTCTGGCAAACCAGGAAACGGATAAATCTGAAATTTCGATGGTATGTATAATTAACATAGTCTACACTACTGAAATATCTGAAACGATCCGGCGTTGCCGCTTCTACTCGAAAGTAGCAGTAACTTTGATTTTCCAAATGGGACACCCTGGATGCTTCCTGAAGAGCTGATTTAATAGATTCACAAAGTTCGGGGTCTAGTGGGACTAATAACCGAGATATTCAGAGTGAGAAAAATCGAGATGTTTCAACCTCAGAATTATTTTGCGAAAATATTTATTATTGATCAAAACGGCTTTTATGTCCCTATCTTAACTTTGTATCTATTGACATTTAATCGAAACAAATACAGGATGGTTCATAATTCAGATTTCTGCACCACCTTGTATCTGTTTCAATTGAATATCGAATGGAAAGTTGAGATAGGGACATTGCAGCCGTTTTGACCATGCAATAATAAATAGTTTCAACACAAAACATTTCAAAAGTTTAAACATCTCGATTTTCCACATCCTATATCTCAGTTATCAGTCCCGCTAGACCTTGAATGTTTTGAATCGATGAATTCTGCTGTTCAACAAGAATCCAAGAATGTAATGAAATACAGGGTTTCCCATTTGAAAAATCGAAGTTGCTGCTACTTTCTAGTAGAAGCGGCAAGGCCGGATCGTTTCAAATATTTCAGTAGTATAGATTATGTTAATTATACATACCATCAAAATTTCAGATTTATCCGTTGCCTGGTTTGCCAGAAACATCTAATTAACGCTTATCGTGAAAAGCCCTGTATAGTTTTGATGACGGACCTGCAACTAAGTCTGGAACAAAGAACGATATGAAATACTCCTTCTAAATGTAATACTCACGTATACTGAATAGGAAGTAATAAAATTAATAAATCTCGTCTGATTCCAATTTTGTACCCCAAAATGAGCAAAAATAATATTTTGAGCACATAATATGAATAGTTAAAATCGTCTGTGCACGAATAAAAAGCACATCGTTGAATAGAAATTTTGATGTTATTTTCAGGATGGCAAAAAAATGGGAAACTCGAATGTATAGGGTGTTGTTTTCTGGCAGAAAGAATTTGTGAGTTTTAAGTGAAGCCGGACCTGGATTTTATCTTTTGTTGTTGCCTCAATCAATTCCACAGGATAGATTGAGCAAATGTACCAATTCTTAAAAATATATACAGGGTGGTTGGAAAGTTATGAGACAATGAAGATATGGACAAAATTGATGAAACATCCTGTATCTCGGTTATAAGAAGTCGAAGACCCATCAACCATAGGTTTTTTGAAATCACCCCAGTGACCCCTATCCACAGTTGAATTATTTACCTTTCCCAATCAAACACCCTGTATATCTTTCACCCAATATGATTCAGAAACAAGCATCCAGTTTAGATTTATTGATTCCTTTCAGTTTCTTGGAGCAGGCCTTGATGCTCTTGCAAAAACTATGAACGTTGAGGATCTGAGAATTTTGAAAAAAGAATTTCGCAGTGCAAATGTAAGTCAATTCAAATTGCTCACAAGAATAGGTGTTTTTCCCTATGACTATATTAATGGCACACAAAAATTGGATGAAACTAAGTTACCTTCTATCAAAAATTTTTACAATCGATTGAATGACATTAATATTTCCCATGATGACTACGCTCACGCTCAAAACGTTTGGGAAGCTTTCGAATTAAAGAAAACATATTCCCTCGACCCGGCTTGGTATTACACCATGCCAGGATATACGTGGGATTGTATGCTCAAGTATACGAAGTGCAAATTAGAAATTCTCAAGGATATAGACATATGGTGATGTTAATTAAATAATCGATGAGAGGGGGGTTGTCGGTTTGCTGCAATAGATACAGCGAGGCAAACAATAAATACCAAAACACTTATGATTCCAATAAACCATCAAAATATTTACTTTACCTTGACGTGAATAACTTATATGGTAAAGCTATGAGTGAACCACTCCCCTATGGAAGTTTCACATGGGTTGAAAACACCAACATTGATGTCACCCAAATTGCTGATGATGCTGATGAAGGTTATATCCTCCAAGTAGATTTGGAGTATCCAGCATAAAGACTTTCCATTCTGTCCCGAACATCGCACTCCACCAAATTCTAAGTTATCAAAATTAATGGCCACCCTTCACAACAAAAAAGAATACACTCTGCACTACAGAAACTTAAAGCAGGCTTTGGAACATGGATTAAAACTCACAAAAATTCATAGTCTTGAAATCCAAGCAAATGCCGTGGCTAGCGTCCTACATCGCGTTAAATACACGCTTGAGGACTTTAGCTACAAGCGACTTCGAAAAAGATTTGCGGAAATTGATGAGCAATGCGGTGTTCGGTAAAACCATGGAAAATATCCGAAATCATCGCGTTGTAAAATTAGTTCAAAAATATGAAGGCCGTTATGGTGCCAAAAATTTAATTTCCAGTCCCAAATTCCACAATAGAACAGTTTTCGATGACAACCTCATGGCCATAGAATTAAAAAAGTCTGAACTAGCATTCAATAAACCTCTTTACGTCGGTATGACTATTCTAGATTTATCGAAAATTGTCATGTTCGATTTTCATTATAATTTCATGCTACCAAAGATCGGGGTAGAAAATTGTAAACTTATGTACACCGACACAGACAGTTTCATTTATGAAATTGCCTGTGACGATGTATATAAAGAAGTGATTGCCTCAAACATTGAAAAATTCGATACATTGTAGCATGTAAATTTTCATTACTGTATATTTTGTCTGATTCTATAATATTCTGTAATGCTGAGCACATCTGACAGGATATTTTGTCACAATAACATGGTTAACATTTTTCAATAACATAAATTGAACTCAATCTGCTTCATATTATTTAATTATTCTCAAACCTGATATGTGGATACACACCTGAGATTTCACACTGTACATATAATAAAAATACAATTTCTATAAATACATTGATATCTCTTGCTATATCTGCTTTGTTGTGATCCAAGTAGAAGGATGATTCAGATGGTTTTTACAGGAACTTATCTGAAAGAGATAAATAATATAAAGTGATATGAAATACCATTTCAGAGACATTGTCATACTCACTTCTCACACTGCTATTTCCACTTGAAACTTCATCACAGTAGAACAATAGGTATTGGATTTTTCAGGAACGCTGATGCGGATGGTTTCACTAGGAATCGACCATGGTGAATCAATTAACTTCGTTTGGCATTATTTTCTTGATTGATGCATTTGATAAATTCAGGTTGATGTTTTGATTCTTGTTGATCTGTTAGTTCGCTTTACGTCAATTAGCTGTCGGTCATGACACCATGTCAACAATGTCAAACTTGTCATGCGCCAAACGCCGATTCGGATTGATATGTCCTTAGATCATCATCGTCGAACCCACAGGCCGAGTAATCGTGAAGAAAGGTGTGACGTCATTTTAGTCATCAATTCTGATTGGTTCAGATAGTCATCTAAGAAGAATCAAGTCTCTGGAGGGAGTAGCGATAACGTCTTTTATTTTGGATATTCAAATTTTCCGCCAATTTGAAAAACGGAAACCGTTAAGTTGTTCTCGAAGTTTCTGGAAATTTGGAGAAGGGATTTCCTTTCTGGTCGTGAGACGAGAGCTCACTTCAGAAAATTCTTCGTGGTGGTCAAGTGCCATTTTTGTGGTGTGAACCGGCTTCTGAAGTCCTGTACCGCCTGGCGTTCTGGATCACATCAGGATATCCTGGATTTGCTGCTGATCTACAAGGACTGCTGGACTCTACAGGTTTCTTCTGGTTTTGGTTTAAGAGGCAGGATCTTCATGGTTCATCACCCAGGCAGCCACGTGCCTACCTTCATCGTCATTTCAATCCCTAACCCTTCATAGAAGGTGAGTCTCGCATTATTACGTTTTTTCTCTCTGCAGTCCAGAAATTCAGAACCTCATTTCATGAATTATTTAAGGGTTTTTTCACCGGAAGTTTTCTACCGGGAGTTTTTTACCGGGAGCTTTACTGGAAGTTCTACAACGGGAGTTATCCTACCAGGAGCATTATTCTTTCCAGGAGTCATTGCTCGACCAGGATCTGTTAATTCTACAAGGCCTTTGGTGGCTATATAGTAGTCTGGAATCTGGATATCGTCCCCTACTTGTTCCTGATATGATGGATTTTCAAGGTGGAAATAAGACAACTCTGTCAATGTCATCTGTGTGTGAATACTAAAGGATTCTGCAGAGTATTGCACAGCAAATCCGAGTAAAAACTCCAATAAATATATGGTAGAACTGACTTTTAATCAATCTAATCGACAGACAGTTAATAACAACAACTCATAACATGACACATTCTTTACATATCATATCATAACATCGGTGACCATATACAGGGCGTTAGGTTGTAAAGCATGAACCTCCAACACTCCCCCTGGATCTTAGATCCTTCATTTGAAATGTTCGCTTAAACCTCCAACACTCCTCCTAAAAATCGAATCCCCATTGTCTTCAGATGATCCGACAAAATAAGAGCTGGGATAGATTTAGTCAATTGATCTGCTAGGTTTTTCTTCGATTCTATATATCTCAGAATAATTTGATTTTCTCCAATCAAATCTCTCACATGAAATAATCTCAAATCAATGTGTTTAGATCTATCTGATGTAGTGTGATTTTCTGCAAGTTTTATTGTTCCCTGATTGTCTACGTGAATAGGGAAAGGTTCTGCAAAAAACACATATTTCTCAATTTCCATACCCAATTTCTTCAGGAATACAAATTCTTTGGCAGTCTCACTAAGAGCAATGAATTCGGATTCAACGGTACTCAGAGCAACGCAATGCTGTTTTCGACTACACCAGCTTACTACTCCGCCTCCCAAAATGAATAAGTATCCACTAAAAGATCGCCTGTCTATTTCATCTGCACCCCAATCTGCATCTGTAAAAGCTTCCATTTTCTTTCCAGTTTTCTTATATTCAATGCCATATTCCTTCGTTCCATTCAGATATCTCAATAAATGTTTCATTCCTTTCCAGTGATGTTTAGAAGGATTATGATTAAATTGACTCATGAATGTTGCAGCATACAATAAATCCACTCTCGTCGATACCGCTAAATACAAAATGCTTCCAATTACTCGCTGATAAAGGTTTTTCTCATTTTCATCGAGAGGATCATCATCATTTAAATGAAATTTTTCTCCAAGTGGTAATGGAGTAGAAACAGTTTTAGATTGCAACATGTTCATCTCCTTCAAAATTTCATTGCAATATAATGTTTGATCAAGTCTTAAGCGTCCACTCAATCTTGTCACTCTAATAGATAAGACATTTCTCACTTCTCCCAAGTCTTTTGTATCAAAATTCTTCTTGAATTCCTTCTTGATGTCTTCTATTTTTCTCAAATCACCATATATCAAGATGTCATCAACATATACAGTAATGATAACATCGTCTCTCTTCTTATAGTATACACATGGATCTGATAAACATCGAATGAACTGTATACTTTGGATAAATTTGTCCAAAGTCTTGTTCCACATCAGTCCTGACTGGTGTAAACCGTAGATACTTTTATTTAATTTACAAACCAAATTTCTTTCTTCTATTTCGGCTTCTGAAGGTAAATTCGACAAGTTTTCTTTCAAAATGTCATATAATTCAAAATATCCAGTTGGTACTTCCATAAATACATTTTCTTCCAAATCAGCAGCAAGATATGCAGCTGTGATATCAATGTGATGTATATGCCAATTTCTCTCAATTGCAATAGCAAAAAGCAATCGCATTGTCTTCTTTTGTACAACTGGTGCGTACGTTTGGTCGAAATCTATTCCTGGCATTTGTGTATTACCCAAAGCAACCACTCTTGCACGATATCTTTCAGTTTCTCCTTCTGCATTCAATTTTGTTTTGAATACCCATTTCGTCTTTATGATTTTTCTATTTCTTGGTTTTTCCACAAAATTCCATGTTCGATTTCTCATTAAATTCTTGAATTCTTCGACCATCGCTTCCTTCCAGAAAATATTATTTTCTCCACACAAAGCTTGTTTGAAATTAATTGGATCCCTTGATATTTCTCGCGACTTTTTGGCTTTATTACAAGACCCAAAATCACTGTCGTTTTTGTCAATTACAAAATCTTCCATCCATGTTGGTTTTATGCTTACTCTTCCTGATCTCGTCATAATTTTCGAACTTGAATCTCGATTATCAGTCAATATTATTGAAATTTCTTCTTCGTCTTTTGAATTCGTTGAACTTCCTTCCTCGTCGTTTGAGCTCATTAATCTTCTTCCCTCGTCGTTTGAATTTGTTGATATTTCTTCCTGGTCGCAAATCTCCTCTTCGTTTACCTTCTCTATTTCATTTTCATCTTGATGCTCTTGAATGTTGATATTATTGGGAACAAAATCACTTTCCACATCCGTGAAAGTATCTAATTTTATTTTTTGAATTTCCTTCTGATTCTGATTCAACAATGAATTGATAGGTTTGTTCTGTAACATAGGAAAACTATCTTCCTCAAATTTAACATCACGGCTAAGAAAAATTGTGTCTTTCGTTGGATTCCATAATCTAAATGCTTTGGAAGAAGTATCATATCCCAAAAAAATACAAGGAATACCCTTGGGAGAAAACTTTGTTTGCCTGTTTGTATTTATGCTCCAAACTCTACAGCCAAACACACGCAGGTGTGAGAGATCAATTTTCAAACCTTTCCATTTCTCTATAGGGCTCAGTCCTTGGTTTGTTGCTGTTGGGCTTCTATTCTTGATATAACATGCTGCAGCCAAAGCTTCTGCCCAAA